GTAACCGAGATCCAGTGAACCAATCAGAAAGCTAGAATTGCATTATCCGAGGCTGAGAATTTAATAATCTGTTTTAACCGCTGCCAAAGCGTAAATACGTCTTTATTAGTTTATCATTGTGTTTTCTATTTTCGTAATGTCGGCGATGGACAGCCTACTAGCCTGAGTCCGGAGAAGAAAAGGTAATAAATTCACTGATATTCTGTTGCTTATTTGGATAATTAATTAACGCTGGATATTAGATCTAAAGCGGTGACTATTGACGACTATTCGTCACTATTCGCCACTTTTCGCGACTGTTCGCCACTACTCGCACTACTCGAGACTGTTCGCACTATACGGGACTATTCGCTATTCGCGACTATTCGCTATTCACGACTATTCGCTATTCGCTATTCGGGTTTTCCAGACACCCCACTCGTGATTGTTACTCTTTCAAATTTCTCCCGCGTAGTGTGGACCGAAAACATTCGGAGTGAAAACCCGTTTTCAAGTTTCTCCAGCGTCACGTCAATCTCAATCCTCATCTTGCCCTTGTAAGCTGAGTTGCCAGTAATCGGATACCCATGTTTGCGCAAAGAACTCTGGGATTGTCAGGGGACAAACATCGCAAGTCGCTAGAAGGAAATGTATAGCGAAAAGTTGTTTCGAGGCACAAAAAAAAAACGATTTCGGAGAAAGCTCAACGCTATTTCGCCCTTGTTTTATCGCAAATGGATTTGGGCAGTGTTGATACGTGGAAAATGAAAGTTTTTGTTTGAATAACCGTGAAATATGTAATAAAATCTACCGATAAACTCGCTTGCGTGAGGTTTATTTGCCTTTAACACAGCACCGAGCTTTTGAAGGTCTTTCTGTTTGAGCCACAATGTTAGAAAGAAAGGCGCTGTCTGCCCCTGATTTTAGCTTGATCATAAGTGCGAGGTAAATTTCCGCCCCCTCCCTCAATATGGTGTCAGCTGCCTCACACCAATACTGAGAAACTTTTGACGACAAATTCCTGAAATTCTCCTTCCCCTAGGCTCGATTTCCGCCGCTCTCTCTTGTCTGGTCTAAGTTATTGTCTACGTTCCTTCGGGTCAAGAGCGCGGGCTCCTTTCTCGAACAGCGGCTGATAATCGAGCCTACCCAAAGCCCTTTAATTTTCGCGAATTTTCAGGAAATCATAGCTTGTGTTAA